CTGTATATCATGACCCATTAGTTGGTTATTAAATCAAGTTAATGAGTTGTGGACTTTATTTTTTTAAAAAGAGAAAAACAAATAAAATGGAAAATAACAAAATATACGGTACATAGAAAGTGTTAGTACTATGTAACAAAATTTTTCTCTGTGCTTTTTGTGTGAATATATTTACTGAGTCATGATAAAGTATTTTTTACTTTGGGTTCAAAGATTTGAAAGGTTCTGAGTTAACCCATACAAGACCTTCAAGAATTAATCCAGATATTCTTGCATTATTAGGAAGCCATCAAGATTTCAGGTCTTTCTAGAGCTAACTTAGGTCTTTTCATATCACATTGCATTTAATTATCTTCCCCTTAACTGTCTCCCCTACTAGACATAAGTTTCTAGTGAACAGGAAGCATGACTGTTTACTGCTGAGTCTTCAGTGTCCATTATAGGTCTTGGCACAGAACATACACTCAAAGAATGCCTGATGAATGCATGAATAAAACATAACAATTGAATCTTAAACTCACATTCATATCAAAGAGGTTATTCACTTGAACACTCAAAATAAGTATCTTTTATTAACAAGTAAACATGGACTGAGTTATTTATATTCTTCCTGTGATCTTTTATCTCCTCCCCCATTGGTGAACTGACTTGCCTATCTTTCTTGTCCTATGTATTCTTTCAGTGTCCATGGTACTTTTACCCTCAATAAAAAGAAAGGACTGCTCTTTAGACATTTGCACTTTTGTGTGAATTTAATCCCCTGTATCTCTGACCTTTCTTAGCAGCATCTATATATAAAGGTGCATTCCTATTAGTAGCAGGAAAAACCTTTTTCTCTCTCATACTAGCTGGCAGGTAAGAAGGGAAGGACATATTTTAGAAGCAGGAAGACCTTTATGAGTTTATAAACTCACTCTACCTAGGCAGTTGCCTATTCCTCCACCCACATGGGAGGGGGGCTTGAAATACATGCAATAAAATCCATATTTCAGTAGCTCAGAAGCTTAAGTACATCTATCTTTGAAGAATTGATAATGCTGTTGTGGAGCATTTTGAAAAATCATTTTACTCAAGTTTATAACGTTATTTACTTTATAAGTTCTACAACTATATGTTGCACAATGCAGGAAATTCACAAAACAAATAACACATGAAACCTACCCAAATCATTCCCATAGAACATGTATAGTATTAACATTAGCAACAATCAATGCAGTTCCATAGCACTACCAAAGCACTTCAAGCATCTCACACAAAAGATTAAAAGAAGGAAAACAATTACAACTAGATTTGCAAATAGGGCTGGCTCATGTTTAAAACACTCTCTGGCTGAGACAGGGCTATTTACCTCTCCCTCCCTTCAAGATTTCAGGCAAACACATTGCTACCACCTGGGAGGATCATTCCTCTCTGACACGGCCAGGCCCAGGACTAGGGCTAGGAGTGTTTGTATGAGCATGTATGTGTGTGAAGGGTACAGGAGGTAACTTTGAGAGGAAGAGTGGTTTTGTGGTGCAGGTAAATGTTTTACTAAGTCAGCTAAGTTGTTTATCTCAGAACAAGGAAGCTATTTGCTTTCTGATATTTTGGTTTTGACTTCATGGAAAAATTATGAATAATATCATAATAATAATAGTGAAAAATATGAATAACATCAAAAAACATACATGCTCTATAGCACAGTTTATCCTGTATAAAAACCCCAAAGAAGTTTGTGCTTCAATGTCTCCTCTCAGCTAACCTGTTCTTTAATCTGAGTTCAGCACTGTGCTGATAGAAGCAGATTGGGACTCACAGCTAAAGTACATTGGACAGCTGACAACAACATAAACTGAGTCCTAGGGACTAGGGAAGTGAACTGATGTGGGGAGGGTCAGGGGACTGGGGGAGGAGACCTGACTTGGCCAGAAATAGCTGTGGGATCCCAGGCAAGTCTCCTCTCTCTTGGGGCCTCAGTTTTCTCTTCTGTAAATTAAGCAGTGGACCTAGTGACAGCTAAAGTTCCTTTCAGCCCTAGAATTACTTAAAGCTAAGCAATATGAGAAAAATAATATTCCGGGATGTAATTCTCAGATTAGAGACATGGCCATCATCTTGTATTTATGTGATCAGGGAAATCTTGCTATTAATTTATCTTAAGAGAGTAAGTACAGGTGGTTGACTTTCTAAAATAAGCACAATTGACACTGGTCCTATAATCAAGCACTCTAGATAAAGCAAGCATATCTATAAAAATCCTATAGCCAAATTGGTATATTAAAAATAAAGACAAAGATACAAACCTCCTGAATCCTTTTTGGCAAAAATTTCGCTTAAGCCTTACCTAATTTCATGTTCTTGCTTTTTTTTGGTGGTGGGGGGGGGCGGAGGTGTCTATTTTACCACATTGCATGAGAATAAGTCCAGGGGCTCTTGTGAGTTCTTTCCTCTGGTTTTGCTGTGTGAATGGCCCATATTTCTTCTAACTCTGTGCCTCTTAGAGTCATTTAGTTGCTGAGGTCAATCCTCTAAAAAAGTGTTAATAATTGAATATATAGAAGCCAAAAATCATATTTGTATAATTGTAGATATTTCATTTGGTGAATTTCCCATGGAGTCTCAATTATTTTTGAATCTTATTAAAAAGAATTTCCTCCTTTCAATGTAATCTCTATTACTTTGTTACTTTAAGTCTGTCTCTTCTGTATGTTTTACTTTACCATTTTAGAGCATAAAATTTGATTCTAATTAACACTACTCTTTCAAGCAAGTATATTAGTTTTATATAATACCTGGGGTGCCAAAAAATGTGTATACACATTTTAAGCAATGTTATCTATATATTACTTTTCAAAGTTGAATTAAATTATGTTAGCAATGTGTAGTATGATATTTGCTTAAAAGATAGCATTAATGAAATGAATGCTAGCATCACCATGTGACAGGCAGAACAGACAAAGAAAATGGCAGAAGCACAGTTGTCATTCAAGGAGTTCAAGACCATTTTGAAGTGGTATTTGAAATTTGAGAATGTTATGGAAGTATAACAATAATGGAGGCATGATTACACAACAGAACCTCCAAATTCACACTTTTATAATTAGTTTGAGATGTATGGTACTGTGTGCAATATGCACAAGGGAAGATCCTGGAGGCCTTGTACAGCAATAAGTCCTGCAGTAGTTCACTGTAATCAAAAGCATCTGGACTCTGATGGTAACCACTTTGAGTACCTCTTGCAATTGTAGAAGTCAGACGTGACTTGTATTCATCTTTTGTTATTGGCATATATTGAGTACTACAATTTTAAAACATTTTTTCCTTTCTTAAAATATGTATACATTTTGTTGGCCCCCTCTGTAAAATCATAGCACGTCACTTAATTTTCATAATCTACACAACTTAATAGCTGTTATCAATATATTTCAGTAAGTTTCCTCTAGTACATTAACAACATTTGCATATGTTCTATTTTTAATAAGAAACCAACAATTTGGTAATTTTTCCTTCTAGTTTTATTTTATATAACCATTTCAGTTGCATTAACCAATTAATCTCTATCCTATTAATTCACCTGGCTTTTCCCAGTTTGCTAAACAAGACTAAGATCCTTTCAAGATTTAAAAATATTTTATATCACAAAGACAAGCAATGTAACACAAAGAGAATAGAAATAGGCACAGATGGAATTGTCAGCTTTCCATCATATTTGTGATGTCACTACAAAACATATTCTAGGGTGGTTCTCAGCAGTTCCTTTCACAAATTGCAATGAAGTATATCACAGTAATCTTCTGAAATGCAGTTGGCCAAACTTAGAAAGTTAATTGTTTGTTTTTCATGTCAGGGCTTCTGAAGTACTGGAACTCCCTGGAATATGAATGGACTCTATGCTTGTCAGATCAGCCAGCAAATTAAGGTCCTTGAGAATATATGCCTGCTAGAATCCGGCTTCTTTCCTCTCCCTTCTGTGTATACCTAATACACACCAAATGTAACTTTACAGCCAAAGTGGAACCAATGGGAAAAGTTCAACGCAAGTACCTCATTTAGTATCTGTAACATGTACCTCATTCCAGGATAAGAAAGTTTCAGGTAGGGAAGACAAGTGGTGACCTCAGGTGGGAGTCAGATTGGATTCTGGGCCAGAGCGGGAGTGAAGAATACAATGAGGATGGTCATGGTTCCCTCGGGTGATACATATAGATTCATTTTAACCATTAATTAGGCATCACTTTCCCCTTTTGGCTGTAAGTACCTATATTATTTTTAAAAGTACAGTCAGCACTGATGAAATTTAGAAGTAATACAGGAGACTTGTCTAGGAAGAATAGCATGTAATCATGCTGATGGATCTTACTCAAGGAGAAGATGAAGGGATGAAAGACTGGAAGCCATTTTGAGTTCAATCAATGATTTTTTTTCTGGTAAATTAATGAGTTTTACCAAGTAAGAAACAAGTAACTTTTATGGTCTGAGAAACAATTGGTAACAAGATAACACAGAATAAAGTCTTTTCTTTCCACTAAAACGTATTAGAAAAAAAAAAAACACAAAAATCACAACTTTTTAGAAGAATACTGCTGATTTCAAATCAATACACCAGAATTAATGCAATCAGTGTCAGGCAGGTTGGGAAACGATACAGGCATATTTCTTTTCATATTGATGGTGAGCAAATGTCCTGAACTTTGGTCCATGTTTTCAATTTAAGAAATTTAACAGAAATGAAAAAGGTTCTTCTCATTATTCTTTATTGCATTTTACACTGAGAACTTTACCCTGGATCATAACATTATTGAAGAATAATGATTTAAAAAACAGGGAACTTAAAAGTAATTTAACCTCATAACATTTCAAAAATTTCTTCCAAATTGTTAAATGTAAGGTCTTTCAGTAGCATCGTAATGAACATGGGCTAATTAGAACACATCTTCCGTTGCTACAAGATATTGCCTTTGTTTTCTCTAGTTGGATTGTTCCCAAAGTGCGGACAGAGTAAGACAGACCCCATTTCCTACCTGACATACAGGGAGCGTTTCTGATTGGTTCGCAGGGACCCGGACCCGGAGCTCATGCTGTGGTTCATCATCTGCTCTCGTAGGTCATGGATTTTGGCCTCAAATCGAGCGTAATCTGGAAATGGAAACAAAGATAGCAAATTTGGTTCTGTGGCTTCCGAGAGTTAGAGATGCTGCACAGTTAAGGCAGACCCTCACTACTGCTGTTGGTTCCTTTGCCAAACAACAGGGAGATGCACAACTCAAGGGAATGCTTGTCAGAGTAAAATGAAGAATCAGTTACCTTCCAGAAGTTAGCTAAAAAAATACACCACCATCAAATTCCCAACTTGTGAAAAGTCCATGGTGATGGGGGAAAGAAAGGGATGAGAGGGAGTGAAGGTGGATGGGAGGAGCATGGGGAGAAAGGGAGGGAGATATGGCAATAAACAGACAACATACAGTATCCTTCTGGTGATAGAAATGTTCTCTATTTTGCCTATAGTGGTGGATATAGGTAACCACACGTGATAAAATTACATAGAATTAAACACAAATGAGTACAACTGGGAAAAACTGAAAAAGATTAATGGTTTATGTCAATGTCAATACCCTGGTTGTGATAACATGCTATAGTTTTGCAAAATGTTGCTATTGAAGGAAACCAAGTAAAGGGTATACAGGATTTCCCTGTACTACAATTATATCAAAAATAAAAGACAATTTTTTTTAAAGAGAGAAAAAAGAGTTCCATGGAATTTCCAATACTATGGAGTACTGAAGAAAGTCTCCAGTTACTCTCAGACTGATAGACCAGAGAATCAAGGGTTTGCTGTTGAATTGTGTATGAAATGCCATTTAATTTAACTAAGTCCCCCCTCCAGTGTGTGTAAGGGGCGATACTAGAAGTTTATTACTACCATCAATCCTCAGTTGTGTCTCATGCAAGATTTCATTAATTCTGAGATGCACAATATATTTAAATAAGCTTTCTAGGACATTGGGATTAAAAATGGGGCACAAAATACTGTCATACTAAATATATTTAGAAACTTGAAAAATATATGGATTAAAACAATCAAAGAAATATAGGTATTTTGTCATTGCTAATCCTTCACAGGAAAAAATATTTTTGCTATGTTAATGCAATACAAATAAATAAAGCACAAATAAAAATAAAAAATAAAGTACTGTAAAATACTTATTAACACAATAAGCATGTAACAAGAAATTGCTTTTGAAGTTCCCATAATTTTTAATCACAACCTGGAAAATTTTCTATCTTTTCTTTGACATAGCAATGTCGTTCTTTAGAAAAATTCAGTAAGCTTAATTTATCTACAGATAAATTTTAAAATGTTAATTCCAATTACAAATGATTATTTCAATTACAAAGAAACTTACCATGAAGAATTTTAAGAAGCCCTCAGTACATTTCAAAAAACAATTTGATTTTCAATTTTATTTACTCACAACTTTTCATGAAAACAAGGATGACTAAATGAATATAATAAAAGATGATCTTCTTGCAGAGTGTTTCAAATTGTTTATAACAAAAAGTTCCACAAAATTCAATTTAATTTCAATTTACTAAATATCTGTTGGTTATTGTAGGGTGAGCTTTTCTAAAAGATTTGACCTTAGTTTTCAACAATAAATATGCAACAGAATAATAAACTCAGAATGTTAGGTATTTTTATGTTTAGCACTCTAAAGATAAAGCCATAATAGTTGCCTGAAAATTTATGGTGCATACTCAAAGTCCGGTGTTATCTAGATTTGGAAGTTTTCCTATTAAAGCTTAGCTTTGAATAATTAAATCCTAAATGGCTAAATAAGTATAATACATATTTAACCATGCTTAACCTAATATTTATTGTTCATAATTTAAGAAAATTTATCTCATTCCATTTTACAATAGAGAGAAAACACTTATTTATAACCATTGATAAGACACTGTATGCAGATTTAAATCATTTTGAGCAAGTCATATATTCTTGTCACCCTAAAGGCGTCAATTTACATTTATTACTGGCCACATGGCAGATGCTATGCTCAGTGCTTCATGGGCATTCTCTCATTTATTTTTTAAATTACAAAATGAAGTCATGGATGTTGAAAAATTTAAACTATATAGAAAAACACAACACAAAAGCTGAGTCTCTCTTGTCTCTTCTGTCTTCTCCCACCTTCTTTCTTCTATCTCACTGCTGCCCTTTTCTTGCAACTTACCATAAAGGTACGTGTATGGTTGTGTGCTGCATATATGTGTGCGAGTTTGTGAGTATCCCACATGCATACACACCATAACTGTTGTGATAAGACTCTTCTCTCTTTTGAACAGCATGACTTGGATCTTTTCCTACCTTATACCAAACACAAGCTATTTTTCTGAATACCCTTGGTTATATTGCATAGGTCAGACTGTAATTTATTTAACAATTCCCTATCATTCGATATTTAGCATTGTCCAGGTTTTTGGTTCTAAGCAGGGATCTTGGTGTATATGTGCACACTTATGAAAGGTTAGCAGAGCACTGGACGTGGAAGTAGGTCAAAGTTTGGCATAAAAATCCTACAGCCTCCATTAGCATTTGACAGAGAAGAAAACGATATGGTCTGGGGCACAGAACAGAAACTCCTAGCTGCTTCTGATCCACGCTTCTCATTGATGCTTGCTAAATACCACATGTCACCCCTGAACACCACTAAGTTTCCTATCCAGAGAGACAGAAGGCTCTCCTTTGCAACTTTGATGACTTCACAACCCATGACAAAGCATAAAATCTCGCCCTCCAACTGTCCTTTCTTAGTATTCAATGCCAGTCCTAACTCTCATTTAACCACTTTGCTACTTTGTTGCACTCACTACCAATTTGTAGTTATCTTCCCCATTAGCTTCAGTTCTCTGAGGGCTGTTCTGGGTAACAGAAGCTAAGACTCACTCCTCTTTCAATTTCCTATTCTTAACTTAGTGTCCAACATGCAAGAAATCATTTAATAATAAGTGCTCAATAAGCAATGCGTAAACAAGGAAACATGAATGAGGGAGTGAGCAGAATCATAAGATGAATTCAATTATAAAATGGTTACTGATCCTGAAATTGCCCATTTTAACTGTTTATTTTTTCAATGAAGAACAACAACATGCATCTCCTCTAGTATGCTTTTATTTCTGACCAAATATTCTTAATTCCAAGGCTTTATTTCTGTCAAATCACTACCACTTGCAAATCCCTCGCTATTTTTATTGTTCTCTAGGTGATCTTCCCACTCGACCATGTCACACATTGGAAACAACTTTCTGACACTTAACTTATATACAAAACAATTCTCTGACATCTAACTTACATACAATCAGCACTTTGTTAGGCGGTTGGAGTGGTCACATGTTATATATCACCAGATACTTGCCTTAATGATAAATTATATTCCTTGTCACATGGTTCATTAGATACCCAAAATGTCTTCTGCCATGCTTTTTGAAATGGTCTGCATCATATTCAACGGTGTTTACATTTTCCACTATGAATGATTTATATTGCATTTGCCTTAATTAAATTCATCCTGTTTTCAACTTCCCTACTTGACGGATCATCTTAATCACAAATCCTGTATCAAATGTGCTTATTTCTCTCTTTGCTCTTTTGGAAAAAATAAAATGTAGGTACAAGCAACCTCATCAGAGTAAAAACAAGAAGTTCTGGGTTGACAAATATAAATGGTATGTTTATGGTGGGGGAGCTCTTAACTTCTCAGAGATTAGTTTATAGTCAGAAACACTCTAGAAATAAGCAGGAAATCAGATACATAAATTGTGAAATACGTCTTCTTTATGTTTCATGAAAGTATTGAAAATTAAACTTTTCAGCAAGTTAAAACAGAAAAATCTAACACTACCATATTCATTCAATATTAACTCCCTCTCCCTTCTGCAAATATTTTACTCATATCTATGCCTTTCCCTTTGTAACATTTTCCAGTCAAATTCCTAACACTTTTCTGATAGCCTCAGGAGGACATTCACATGAGATTTTCGAGTGCTCAAATCTTTATATTTTCTAAAGGGAATTCATATTTACTGAGCACATGTAACGAGTTAGAATCTGTACTATGTATCTTACAGATTATATAATTTGTCCTAAAAAATTCTGAGGTAGGTGTATTATTTTACAGATGAGGAAACAGAGGTTCAGAGAGATTAACTAACTTCACCAATGAGAGCTACTAGGTAACAAGTCTCATACCGAGCTGTGATTCAACCCTGGATCTGTGTAGCCATTTTATTTCCATTACATCACGATGCCTATGGTAACACTAAAGTCCTCCTTCAGAATGAAGTCCTCCTCAGTTTTTCAACTGTCCTCCTTCTTGTTCTTCTTCTTGTTCTTCCCTTCACCTACTGTATTAGTTAGGTTATGCTGGTCTTCTCTTCTATTGCACTGTAAGCTCCTTTCGGCATTATTAAGGAGAGAGTTGGGATGCCTCACTCCTCTCCGTTTCCAGACTGCAGATCTGTCATTCTACCTTCTGTATACACAAGACTTTAATAGATACCTGGCAAAGAGTTTTGAATGAGACAGAACCTGAAAAAAACTTGCTTCCAGAATAGGACACTGATGAGTAAATTAAGCATGATAATGCTGAGGTAGAGAACAACATTAAGGATGCAATACTTTATTTATTCTGTCTCACTTTGCATGAAATAGGTGTCTGATAAATGCTTTTTAAATTACGTTATTTTATTTAATTTATGTATTTATCTAGTTGGGGTGTATTTTCTTCTGTACCAGAAGTAAACTCCTAGGCAAACATTTTAGAAGAGCTTCATGAGATATTCCTTTTAGCTAGTTCTACCCTGGCCCTTGCCTGACCCCGTCCCGCCCTGCCCCCTTATTAGATAATTTTTTTCCTCCACATTCTTAGGTATGTAAATCCAGTTATTTCTGGCTAGATGCACTCATTTTGGGGTTTTGGCATTTCCTTTCAGTTGGATAAGATGAGTGATAATAGTAAAAATATGTACAAGATTCGGGTTATGATAATAGTGTCAAAATCCTGGTTCTATCACCAATTAGCTATGCATTATTGTGAAAGTTATTAACCTTTTTGGGATAAATTTTCTCACAAGTAAAA